TTTTTGAAAAGCCCTGAATCCCGGGAAAATCCGGAGGACTTTCATCTCTGGTTCTTAAATAGTGGCGGAGGGACAACTCATATTGGCTGTGCGCGTGCGTCACTGGGCCCCATTTTGGCCACATTAAAAAAATCAGGAAAACTGCAATGGTGAAAAATGGTTTAGCGCTTGTAGCTACACAAACGAGAAGTACATACTTCTGTAGTCTATTTAATGATTACCTTCAAACATGTACTGTATTTCGAAACAGTTGAATTGTTGTTATTTTATATTAAATGTCTGGTAAAGTGCTTTGTTACATGTCTTACAATGTCTTTAAGTGTGTTTTAGAAGTGATCTTACCAGCTTTGACAGAGCAATGGATGTGATATTTTGACTCATAGTGGACCCAGTCAAAGCCCGCCTCTACAGCCAGCTGGGCGAGCAGTCCGTATTTGTCTGTGTCTCTGTCGTCAGTCGTGATGTCCACAGCCCGACCTTCATAGTGCAGAGATCCAGCAGGGTGGTGACCATCCTCGTCCCAGGCCTCTGTCACCCGGAGGTGCACCCCTGGCCACTGGTTCATAACTGCAATCGCCAGCCTGTTCAAACATTCCTTGCAGCGCTACAACAAGAATCAAGCACATCATCAGCATGTCATAAAATAAAACACATGAAATGTATTTTGTGTGTGTGTGTGTGTGTGTGTGTGTGTGTGTGTGTGTGTGTGTGTGCGCGCGTGCGTGTGTATATACACACTTAGTTAATCACTTTTGAATGAAATGATAATATATGGCGGCATAGTGAGCGACTGGTTAGCATGTCCGCTTCACAGTGCAGCAGTTAGTGGTTCGATTCTGGCCCCCATGCCTGCATGGGTTTTCTCCCGGTGCTCCGGTTTCCTCCCACATTTCAAAAACATGTTGACTGAACGGTCTAAATTGTTCCTGAGTGTGATTGTGAGCGTGAATGGTTGTTCGTCTATGTGTGACCTGCGATTGGCTGGCAACTAGTTGAGGGTGGGACAGGCTTCACAACACTCGCAAGGAGAAGCGGTTCAGTTAATGATGGATGGATGATAATATACATATAAAAATGAGAACTGTATTGTTGAAATTAATGATTTCACATGTAGATTTTATTCTTTTTTTTTGTCTTTGAAAAATTCCTGGCCCAGTTGTCTGTTTTGAATATTTAAATGTGACCCTTGCGCATAAAAGTTTGCAATGATTCCCAAATTTCACTTAATTTGTCCCCAAAATATGATTTGTTGATTACAAATTCATATGGGTTCCTCGGTCCTTGCTTGGAACGTCGAGTGACGAAGAGAAAAATTAAATGGTCCAGCACGCCCACAACACTCGCGAGGAGTTGGCAGAAGCTATCATAAACCTCTCTATTCACCTGTTGCCCTTCGGCCTGCAGAATATGTCAAATAAACAGGTCACATTTCAGAATTTGAAAGTAGCCTGCTTTGTGGGTGATTTGAGACGAGATCATCAATAGTTGATTTTCATTCGTTTTGTGACTCTCGGTTTGCTGTGGCCACAAGATATTACATGAAAATGGGTGCCTTGGCCAAATAAAGGTTGGAAAACACCGCAAAGAGTGAATTGTATCGAGGATACAAGCCGCCCCTAAATAGGTGTATTCTTATTTTTGTACACTAGAGAGCGCTAAGAAGTTTCTTGACGGTGACTGAAGCTGCTGTGAAATTTACACCAGCAGGATTGAACTGTACTAGTGCTGATTGATGGTTGCTTGTTCGTGTATTGAAACTGGTCGGGTACAACAAAGCTAACACTCTTTATTGTACATTTAAATTTCTTTATTGAAAAATAAAACCTAGGTAAAAAGGAAATGTGTAATAGTTATTCGTTTCAGTATTTGTTGCTTTTATAATGCTAAAAACCAATAGAAGTGTAAATATATTGAATGGAATAGTTGTCACACACAACATGATCAAAAGTGACTCAACTTGACGTGCATCGTTCAATCAATATTCTCAGAGAAACAATTCTCAAAACTTTTCCCTTTGAACTTTAGTTCCGGCCTCAAGCACCACACTCCAGCAGTGTTGATTTGTGAGGTCCCATCAAGGTCCATACAACTTGAGCAGAATATTATCCTCTGAGATGATACGTCAAAGATATGCGACTCATATTTTTTAAATTTGGCTTTGCAAAGCTTTTCTAAAGGTAATGCTTTAACTTTGACAGCCCTAAAATGTGTGTGTGCGCGCGCGTGTGTGTGTGTGTGTGTGTGTGTGTGTGTGTGTGTGTGTGTGCGCGCGTGTGCGTAGGGGTATCTCAAATTCATTTTTGTCGTGAGCTCAATGTTTAATCGTCTAATTATATTATTAGAAATACTCTGTTAATGTTTTATTGCATGTGAAAATTTGAAATGTCGACACAGATCTTGGCAAGGATAATGGAAGTTTGACACACATGATTTGTTTTAAAATTAGTTATAAAACGTGGTAATGGGCCAGATATGTGGTCAGAGCCTTGAGTTTGACACCTTAAAACATAGATTGCTTACTTTTGAAGCGATTGCATGTCATTTGTTTCAACTAAATATGATAAATATGAATATAGACTGATTCTGATATTCTGTGCTTGGTGCACTTGTACGCGCATGTTTGCAGCCCACTCAAGGACAAGTGCCCTACACTTGTTTTCATTTATTAACAGCGCGTTGAAGTGTGAGCGTGGAATTTGAATTTGACTCCGTTTCACCATTTCAACACTTTCTCTCCCATAGTTTAATTGCTTGTCTGCTGGCACAGAAATTTCTTCTTTCCCTCCTTAAATAACCAGGATATGAGAAAATGGCTACAGTAGCCGCATTCTTTTGCCTTTTTGACAGGGTGACAGAATAATCAAGGCCGTTCTCTCCTTTGCCAGCTGCAACGGTGGCCAAGCACGAGTTTCACCCCTGAGACATTTGATCAGAATTATGACTCCTCGGCCTCCTTCTTTTGGCATAGTTGCACTCTGGCAGAATGACTGTGTTGATGCAGAAAGTGATGCACTCATCCGTCGGGATGTTGCGAGTCTTGTCTTCACTTGACTGAACAGCATTTGTGTCGAAGCTAAGGAAAGAGCCGTGGAAGGAAAGAAGCTGTGGGAGCAGCCGGTCAGAGCATGGGAGCGAGCGCCACTATGCACAAGGCAGATGGGAAAATGTATTGGCATGCACGCTGGAATGTGACAGCAAAGGGTGAGAAAGAAAGGGACAGAAAGCAAACTCGATACATTTTCCTCCCAATGCCATTGAAGAGAGGCGTTTCATTGTCACAACTACAATAGTGGCTTTTCCAACGGTGCCATTACTTCAGCAGGCGGGAATTTCGTATAGGCGACCTCTCCAAGTGTGACGCACAATGAGCGTCTTTCACATTTGGGCAAAAGAGGGGCGCGCACACTCAAAAGTGGGCATGAGAAGGGCACACATCACAAGCACTGATATTCATCACAGAGATTTATAGCCTAAACAAGCAAAGCAAGGCACAGCATCACCGGAGTGCAAAGCATCGCTTTCCCACCGCATGTGCGGAAGCGTGAGAAATAAAATTTGGGCTTGGAAGTCAACCTTGCAGAAAGTTGCAGGTCCATCCAGACATACACCCTTCAAACTGCTGGGACAAAAATAGTGGGTTATTAAAAAAATTACAAAAAATAAAACTTACTGGGTTATATTTAACCCAGCTCTTTTCATAGCAGAATGGCCAGTAATAAGGTGTCTGGTTCAAGATTAAAGGGAGCTGCACGTTCCTGAATGGGGATTTTGGCCTTTTAAGGGGGGTGTAGACTTTTTACTTATTACATTTTTTTATCTTAAGAAAAGAGAGGAGAAATATGTTTGTTGGTGCTTGGAGCTGGGCAAGGTCGAAGAATGAATGAAGGTGATGTGATGTTTTTGAGTGGTGCACAGTAATAGGAGTGTGAACATCTCTCATTGGAATGGAAGAGTAAAGCACAGTAAGTCCTACCTTAGTCATGAAGCGGTCTGCATTGGTGTTCTCCTCATCTTTGAAAACAATGTCTGGGTTGTAGTTGCACACCAGCTCGTTGAAACGTTCCGAGTTCCTC